TCGGTAGCAGTTTTTTTTGCAGGGAATTTTAAGCCGCCCTTGCTTGAAAACCCCATTTTTTTTTTTTTTTTTTTTGGGTTGTCCATAATTTTCTTGATTTTTATGAAGAATCCAACCATCTCATTGTGTTTCCAACCGTTTCACCAAGGAAACTCGTTAACCCATCTTTGGGTTAAAGAGTACACTGACCACTAATTAGCACTGATTTATCGGCGCCAATTTCCTTTAACTTTTGGAGATCAGTGATCAGCTGATACTTGCATGTGAAGATGATCTTGTCCTCTGATCTCATCTGCCTCAGCAAACGTCTAAAATCGACCACTGACCATGTTTACCTCCTGTTAGAGAGGTTTGATTGTTAGCCCCACCCACCAGGTCTGTTTCCAACTCAGCCACTTTCTAGCAACAATTCAGATAAAACAGATTGGAATGGTCAGGTTTTTTAAGGATCGATAATGGGTGAGAAACTTGTGATCGGTGTCACTGACTGGGTGTGTGTCTGCAGGACCTGGTGAAGAGCCACCTGATGTACGCCGTGCGCGAGGAGGTGGAGGTCCTGAAGGAGCAGATCAAGGAGCTGATCGAGCGAAACTCGCAGCTGGAGCAGGAGAACACGCTGCTGAAGACGCTGGCCAGCCCGGAGCAGATGGCCCAGTTCCAGGCCCAGGTCCAGACCGGCTCACCGCCCGCCCCGCAGACCGCTGCGCCCTCTGGACCGCCCAGCGCCGCCGGCCTGGCCCAGCCCGCCTCGCACAGCGCCGGCCCCTCGGCGTAGCCCGACGACACAAACTGAGCGACCTCACACGTTTTAGCGGCCGCTGCGCCGCAGTTTGCCTTCCTCAGCCGGAGGTCGACGCTGTCAAGACGAGAATTTGCACATATTTATCTCTGAAGGATGCAGCCAGCGGGACGAGCGAGCGCAGTGGACAATCTTCCTATGCTGTGTGTGTGAGGCGGCCAGGAATCATCACACATTTGCCAAATAACCCTGGGTCATCAACAAGAATGTGCTACCATGAAGAAACAGCCAGTGACGACGTTACGCTTTCATTAAAATGAGATCACTGTGCCTGTGTCCGGCTTTGGCGCTGACAGCAGCAGCAGCAGGCGGTTCTGGTGGTTCTAGTTGTCGTTGTTTTGCTGAATGATGTAAATAAAAAGCGGTTCTTTACCGAGGCAAGATCCTGAGAGAGATGAAGAAGTTCTTCTCAGTGACAGAAAAAGATTGTGAGCCATTATTATTAATATTATTGTTATTATCACGTCAGAGTCCCCATCTGGAATGGGGGAGGAGGGTATTTTCAACACTCGGCAGCATTGATGATGTTACTCAAACTGTGGGTTGAACAAAAACCTGGTTTCTTACGATGAAGATGATGATGATGATAAATCTATTTTCAGTATTTCCCTTTCAGGCTCGTCATTTTGCCCTCGAAGCTCACTGTTGCCGGCATGTTGCTTCTTCAGCCTCCATCGACACTTTGGGCTAAGCGGCATTTTTCTTTTCTTTTTTTTTGGTAAAAGTTCAACGGGCAGATGTACATTTCTGTATAGTGTAAGTAGGATGTAAAAAAGGAGGAAGGGGAAGGAAGAACAGATGCTATCTAGGTCACGCAGATTGGTGCGGAGGAGTCTGTGTCAGCCATCTTTAATGCTGTAATTTCTGGACTTTGGAAGGAGGGTTAGGTTATTTAACTGGCAACAACCAACAATGTTGTCCAACTCTTTTACTGCAACATTAACTCTGACTGTGCAACCTTTCTCATTGCTCTTTCTGTTAAGTATTGCACCTTTTGGGGTTTATTTTTTCTTTTCTTTTTGACAGTGAAACCCTTTTGGATCTGAAAAAGCAAACTTAGGAAGAAAACAAAACAAAGGAACAGGCTCTGAAGATGTTATTGTTTTTCATTCTGTGTATCAGTTGTATGCTCATGTGCTGTGCATGTTTCTTCAAAGACCGGATGAGATAACAAAATACCTACAATTGCACTTGACAGCTGCACTTCACAACTTTCAATAAACCTGCTAAAGAGTAAAAACCTGGTCGCTGTCTTTGTCAACAAGACGAGTTTCATTTCATTTTTCTGCTGAAAAACCTTAAAAATATCTTTTGACCTACTTGTTGAGATGTTTATTATTCTGCAGCTCGTGCATGAAACTGGTTAACCAAACTGAATTTGAAAAAAATTTTAATTCATATCTTAACTAAGGTAACTAAGGTCTACACCAAGTTGAGCAGAAAGTGCTGAGCTTTCCACATGTTGGTAGAAACATATTTTTGTTGCTACAAATCATTAGTTTCTCCACTTTTCCATACACTTTTCACCACTTTACTTCCTCTTTGTGCCATTTCAACCATTCAACTTTTACCATATTCAGGACATGACTGCTACCTCTTTTGGTATTGACATATTCAATGGTTTATAAAATATTCAGCTTTATGTCTACATCATCTTGAAATAAATGGGACATCCAATAATTTCTGAAAAATTCAGTTAAGCTTTTTCGCAGTTCTCTACTTTTCAGCTTCAAACGCCATTCAAACTGTCAAATGTAATCATATCCTTCAACTACTTCTGTTTCCATCCATCGTACATGTTTACCCCTAGTGGGGTCATGATGGCTGCTGGTTCCTTTCCCCAATGGGCGAGAGGCAGGGTCACCCTGGAGAGGTCGCAGGGCAACCAGGACAAAAACAATCATTCACCCACACCTAAGGAGAATTCAGAGACCAGTCAGCCTGACAGCTTTTGGACTGTGGGAGGAAGTTGGAGAGAGCATGCAGAAAGACTCCAGGCTGGGATTTGAACCCAGGACCTCCTTGATGCAAGGCAACAGTCCTAACAACTGCACCACCATGCAGCATGCAGAAGTATGGTTACAAGTAGGGCTCCAATGCCAAATCTCCTTCCAACCTTCCTACCAACCTTCCTCAGAACTCTCCTACCATCCTTCCTTCCCACTTTCCTTCCAACTCTCCTACCAATCGTCCTTCCAACCTTCCTACCAACCCTCCTTCCCAGCTGCTATTCCTACCCCAGCAGACCTTTAGTTCTCCTTCCTTACCTGTTTCCTGCCTTCAAACCACTGGAGAAATCAACCACAATATGCTGGTGCACCAATCACCATCACCTGGTTTGCTCACTTACATCCACAGTAACTAGTTACTACCCAACTCTGATTTTTCTTTTACATTAATTCTGTGTGAAAAAAGCTTTGTACTAGTACTACTAGTAATAATAACAATATTACATTTTATTTATAATGCCATTCATATATTGATATCTCCAAGTACAACAAAAGGTCTAAAACCAAATAATGAAAAAATAAATATATATATATAAAAAAAAAACATTAAGAAAGTTAACCAAAAATGTTGGTAAAAAGAAACACCTTAAGATTTCTAGTAAATAAAATCTGCAATTTTCTTCAGTACATTTCTGTCGAGATACAAGTTTAAAATTTCATTTGCATTACTCTTTAAAAAAAAACTTAAAATTGAGTTGATGAAACCTGCAGAAACTTTGAGACCTTTAGTTTTAACCAAATTTCCACCAACAGTGACCCAGTTTTCAGAACAAACGGTGACGGCTCCAATTGCTTCACATTTATTTGAAAAACAAAAAAACTAAAAAAAACAAAAAAACAGACAAAAATCTACATTCTTCATTCGTACAGTACAGAAGAAACTAACACAGTTATGGCACATAGTCAGCAGGATTCACCGCCAGCTCTCTCACACACACACACACACATACACTCACACACACACAGGAGCCAAGCGACGAATGAAAGTCGTTCTGCAGTCAGCGTGGTTTTAGACTGTCCATAGAAAAGCTGTCAGCACCACAGACTGCAACACTGGAAACGCTGATCGGGGGTCAGAGGTCGCTCTGTGGGGGATGAGGGCGTGAGTGTGCAGGCGGTGGCTAGCCGGGCTCAGTGAGGGCATGAGGAGAGGGTCAGGGGTCGCGGCCCGCCCCCTGTGTCACATCCCCATACGGATACTCTGGATGATCTGGAATATGGCTGACAGCCCAGAGACGCACAAGTCAGGACGTTTCCACGACCGACATTAGAAACTCAACGTTTGTAGAGTAACACCAAAAGAAAATGTGTCACTCTTACACTCCCACACGCTAAACAAACACTACACACATCCTAAAACATTGGCTAAAGAGCTGCAGATCTGTTTTGTTCAGGCATTTCCAGAACCTTTGAAATTTTCCACCTTCTCAACGTTGGCTATTGAAATTTTAAAGATCTATTATGCAAAATTCACATTTTGCACATTTTTATGCTTCCATTTAGGTCTATATTGTTTCTAAAAACGCCCAAACATTTGTGGCAGTACGTTAAGGTTTTTTGGTGTCTAGAAAATGAGCCGTTACAAAAACCTCCTGATTGTTGAGTCACAATGTTAGTAAAATCTGGAGCCTCTCAGCATTAAACTGAGTGGGAGCCACCTGAACTAAATACAGACAGAGCTACAAGATAATGGCTTTAAGTTAACAAATATTCATGTGATAGAATGGCCTAGTCAAAGTCCAGACCTGCAGCAAGAATAAAACATTGGTGCTCTTTATACATTGATTAATTCAGCTACTCTTACGATGAAGAATGGGTAAAAATGTCTTAAAATTTGCTGTTTCAACTTGTTAGTGTTGAATAGAGATGCATGCCACACTTTTCAGATTTTGTTATATTTATAAAAAGAAATTTAAATCAACACATTATTTTTTCCCTCCTGCTGGGTTTACCTGATCCACAAACAACGAATACAAAGAGGGCGAGAAGCCAGGGGCCGACGGGGTACTTCTCCTCTTGGGGTCGCTAGGGGAAACACACACACACACACACACACACACACACACACACACACACACACACACACACGGTGTAGATTAGCACAACTGACACAAAACGAATGAAGCTGCAAAGTAAAAGTGAATCAGTTTGATACAAAAGATGATGATGGAGGTTAAATATTTTTGTTTTCATTTTGTTTAAGCTCTTTTGCAGCTTTAAACTAAACCACTGTTTCTGTGGTGGGAATATTTTCTGCAATTATTTAAAGTCAATTTAACAGTATTTTGGTTTCATGGTGTCACCGCTAACATGTACAGCCACATATATGACATCATCAAACTGATTCCTCTGCAAAGGAAAAGCATTTCTTTATAGTTTATTATTTAGTCCCTGTTACTCTGATTTTTATCTGTAGACTCCACAGTTTATGTTCAAACTTTTTGCCACATGTTTTACTAAAACACAAAAGTTTTATTGAAAATTTGGTTCCTGTTCAAGAAATAAAAATAACCTTGGAAACTAAATCGGCATTTTTTCCTCTGCTTAAAAAATAAAAACTAGATTTAGATTTTGAAATGTAGATTGGTATTTAAATACGATATAATATTTTAACCATTTCAAAGTAAGATAGGCTGACAAACACTAAATGTTCAGTAAACAAATTAACAAGTTTGATATCTTACATTCCCCGTACAGCACCATACGGCACCAGAAAGAGATTAAAGTATTGTTTGAGAACCAGCTATAAATTATTTTTTTCTAATATTAGTATTTAGTTTGTATTATTCATTATTCAGCATTTTTATCATGCTAACTTGGTGCTCTTGGGGGCCCCCTGGTGGTGTGGGGCCTTAAGCAGCCGCTTAACTCATATATACCTTGGGCCAGCTCGGTCGTTGATGACTCTTTGATACATAGAATGCTGTAAAAAAGTTTGTCTTTTGTTTTTACTTTTTTGACACACTTACAGGTTTCAAATCATTAAATTAATTTGATGATTTAAATATAACAACAGTATAAAGTAGTTTTTCTTGCGTTGCTAATCCGCTCTTGTTTTCAGAAACAGTGACGCTCTGCGGCTGCATCACGCTAACCCAGCGTCTTGTTAGGGACTGAAAAGTGCCGACTCGGTGCAGAGTTTGCGTTTCCTTCCCACTGTGGGCTCAGAGTGCGTCGAAGGACCGGCGTCACCGTGAGGTCATGAGCTTGTTCCGTGTTTGTGGGGGAAGCTTTTAGTCAGTCAGGGATGATGTAAACAAAGCTGGAGGAAGAGAGGGAGTAGGTGGAAAACAAAAACATCTTCAGATGCCGGTTTACATGCAACTGAAAGAAACTCCAAGATGATCCATGAAATTTGTCCTTTTCCTGAGCAAATTATTTGAATAAAGTCAACTCTCGTTTCTTTATATTTTGTTTTAAAAGAGCAAGCATAAAAGGAGCAGAGGAGGAGATGAAGAGTCTGACAGATGGAACAACATGAGATCTGGACAGACGAAGACGAGGAGGATATCAAATGAGTTATTCGTCACATTTTTAACACAACAGAAGAGAAGCAGAAACTCCAAGAGTTTGTAATTTAAATAAAAAAATCTGTATTTAACCACTAAGGATAAATTTATTCATAGTAGCAACAGTTAAAAAAGGTGAGAGAGACACAGAAAAAAAAATAGTAAACAAAGGAGGGAAGAGAAAAAGATGCACAGGTAGAAGGAGGGAAGGAAGGAGAAAGGAAACAAAAAAGACATAAAAAGATAAGAAAATGATGAATGAACTAAGGAAAGAAGGAAAGAAAACACAATGTGGGACACAAGGAAAAAAAGAAAGGAAGAAAAGAAAGAAGGAAGGCACAATGAAGGACATAAGGAAAGAAGGAAAAAGGACACAAAGAGGAAGGAAGGAAGGAAGGAAGGAAGGAAGGAAGGAAGGAAGGAAGGAAGGAAGGAAGGAAGGAAGGAAGACACAATGAAGGACACAAGGAAAGAAGGAACAATGGGCAAAGAAGAAAAGTAGGAAGGGAGGAAAAAAGAAAGAAATAAAGGAAGCACACTAAAGCATACAAGCAAGTAAGGCTGTTTTTTGTTTTGTTTAGAAAAGGCTATTGTTGCTAATCAAACATTTTGTTAAAAAAAAGTGTTTGATTTTAAAGGAAATTTAGGAACAGTATTGTAAGTTCAAAATTCTGATTGTTGAATCTTTACATACAATAAAATAAATTTCATATAAAATGACTTTAAATTGACACCATAGATTTCTGAGATGGGCTAAGCCCCCCAATACCTCTGAGCCTAGAAGCACCCCTGCTTTATCACAGCATATACCTGTAGCAAGCAGCATCATTGTTATAACACATTCTAAATCCATTAATAAAATAAACAAAACTCCTCATCTGCTGTAATTAACATGATTATCACCATCCTACCGGGCTGAACGTCACCTATCTGGGCTAATATGTCATGCTGGCATCTGGCTGTCACTCTAACGGCTCACCAGCGTCTTGGCTACGTTTCCTCTCTGCGTGATGTTCTTGCTGTGTTTCTCGTTGGCCATCCGGATCCTCTGTTTGGCCACCATCTTCCAGGGAAACAACACAATCAGGGGCTTACACTCTGCTTAGCCTGTTATTTTCCTCTGATGCTGCAGGCTGACCACAGCACCGCCGCGTCAAGCTAGCGCAGCTCAGTTGCTAGGAGACCAGAAACTCGCGGGTCAACCTTCAAAATAAGAGCACAGAATGTATGTTTGTTGTTTTGTTTTGTTTTGTTTTTTGTTTTAATGAGAGCGCGTCAAGAACACGAATAAATTACTTTTCAACCGTTAAACGTTGTTAAAAATGACCTTGTATTATCATGTTATGAGGCATGCAGAGAGTTGAAAATAGGTTCAGGTAATAATCTATTGAAACTTGTTATGAGGAAGGGCATTTAACGGAACAGGTCCGCTTTTTGTCGAGCAGCTTTTCAACGGTTAGCTTTGCACCTGGCGGGCATGAGCGCGTCGCCGCGAGCGCGCGCAATCAACAGAAATTTTACTTGTTTTAACGTGTAGTTTAATCATGAATCCATTTATTTGGCCTAACATTTACATATAAAGTTATATTTATATTTAATGTATTTAATGTTAACGCAGGAAAGCAAATTAAAATTGTTTGTGCATACTAACTTGACCAAATTTGATATTAAAATCTTGAATGTTTTATAAAAGTTAGGATGAAATACTTTTAAAAAATTAGTAGAAAATAAGTCTATTATTAACTTCTTCAGATTTTCTCTGACAATATACAGAAGAATCATGCTGCTGAAAACCAGCAGCATGAGTTTCTGTTTGAAGAAACTTGGATGTTTCAAATTACTATAACATTCAATTTGTGTTTTTAAGGTTATATTTTTAATTAATTCAAAATATTCTTGAATTTAGTTTAACTAAACCAAACAAATCTTGAAAATGTAACAATATTCTGTCACATACCTTATTAAAAATGTAATTTTAGCAATTTTACTTCAGAATGTGTTAATTTATTTATTTACTCAACATTTTACCAAGAAATGGTTTGAATTCACAAGTATTTATGTTTTTAAAGTTGATATTAAATGTCCATATGCACAAAAACTGTGATTTTATGTACATTTCTATTTATTTGTATTTATTTTGGAGCATAATTTGGAATCTGCTATGTTTTATAAGGTTGTGTTTTAAATATATATTCCCATGACTGAAGCAATTCTTTATAAAGTGTGATATTCTTCTAAACTGGAAAATATGTCTGACATGAAGAAGGAAAATAATTAAATAACATTAAAATGTAGAAAAATCTGGCTCATGTTTTCCAACAGACAACATTACATCTTCCACATTTTTTTTAATAATTTCAGTTTTTATTGAAAAAAGAGGAAAAGAGAGCTGGGAGTGAAGATGGGAAAAATAATTTTATATCCTACCTTCACAAATGTAAATATGTGGATTTCATGCTGTATTTTATTTATTTTTTGCTAAAATGTCTCAGATTGAAGGCTTCAGTGAAAAACTGGTAAGGTGAAGGATCTGTCATGCTGTGGGGCGGTTTCTCTTCCAAAGGTCCAGGAACATTATGAACTGTTTTACAAGAAGATTTAAATTAAAATCAAATCAAAAACATAAAAATGAGTCATCAATGGGTCCTTCTGCAGGATATTGATCCAAAACGTTAAAAGCAGCAGCCTGACCATGCAGGGGGAACATCAAGGACTATTTTTTACCAAATATAAAGAGTAAACATGTTTTTGTTTTTATTCTCTGCCTCTGAGATGAGCTTGTTGGATGCTGAGAGTGAAAGCTAGGGAGAGATGGAGCAGTGGTTGCTTAGCAACTGAATCAAAGACTTTGCTTAGAGAAAAAATATTTAACAAAATAAAAAAAAACTCCAACAGGGAAGAAAAAAGGAAAACAGACAGACTTGTCTAAACAGCTGATTCAGAATCAAATGATGAATATGACAGATTAAAAAAAATCTAATCAGTTTGTTGACTTTATGAAAACAATTCAAAAGGAATAACAACCCTTTTTATTGTTGTTTTATTAGACCAAATCCTATAGGTTTCCCTGCTAACTGACCAATTACTCTCTTAGCTTTAATTGGTGAACCTGGAGGCCGTTGCTCTGTCTGATCAGCATACCCTGTCAGAATAGCATACTTGCAGTGAGTACGCATGCGCATTAATAGGCGACAATTAGAGGAGCTGTCAGCTCAGCATACGCGACAAGATACAACAAAAATAAGTCAATAAATTGTTTTAAATTATAACTAGATGGATATACATACATTGTGGTGGTTTGGACTTTTGTGGACTTTTCTCTCGATGAAGGCGGACACTTTTTTCCTCTGCTCCCTCCCTGCCCATGCCTGCCCTGTTTGCTCTGTTTTTATCCTGTCTTTTTCTATATTTTTGGAGCCTTTCTTTGCACATCATCCTACAAATTATGAATCTGGTCAATCAATCTCTCAATGCAATTGATAAAATTTTCGACGAGAAGTCTGGGCACAGGAGAGCCCTCTTGTCCTGTGGGGACACATGCGGCGGGATTCACCCTGCATTTATTCATGATAACAGGATTTCTGCTGTTTGGAGCTTGTGGATTCCTGGATTATCGACAAATTTGTGACGGACTTGGCCGAACTAGTAAATGCTCGGACTGTTGGTGTGGACAGAGACAAGGATTCTAAAACTCACCAACAAATTGGAATCGATCTTGGAGAAGTTGCTGGTTTCGGTTCAGTTTAACGACCAAATTAATTTGGATGATTGGGAACTAAGATGTATCAGAGAGACTTTAGGAGTGATTAAAATTTATAATCTTCCCGACCTAAGACATTCTGCTTCTGAATTGGCTTTCTCCGTGTGGCCTTGGAAGGGCTGCATATTTCCAATCTCCTTGAAGATATCTGAACATAACGCTCTTTCCCACCTCACCCCCTCCTGTATCCATGGAGCTGTGGAGCTGAGCGCTCCCAAGGATGTCATTCCTCGATAAACAACACCTCTATTCGACTTTGTCAGGAGGCTCAGCAACCTGGTTTCATGGCCCTTTGACGTCACCACCTTAACTCATGTCTCTGTTTTGCCCTTTGTTTTGTCTGAATGTTGCGATTTGCCCTAATGTGTCCTTTCCTCTTTTTTGTTTTTCTTCTTTCTTTCTTTCCTTTGGTTTGTTATTTTGTTTGTATTTCCTTTTAATTCACGTAAAGCACTTTTAATTGCCTTGTTGCTGAAAATGTGCTATATAAATAAAATTACCTTACCTTAGCTTACCTTACCTTCAAATTGCATTTAAGGTAGAGTCTAGCTGGAGCGGCAGCGAACTGAGAAACACGCCCCTTATAAAACCCGGTCTCTCTATTCCTCGATTTGCTTAGATTTATTCTTTGTAGTGCTAGACATATCTTAACATTTTAGAATCAAACAAACAGATTTCTTTTTTTTCTATGGAACAGCCTTTTACTACAAAACGTGAAGAATAATGCAGAAATCAGGAGTAATATGGCTAAAAAAAATAAATCAATAAAATAAAAACTTCGGCTCCGTTTTTTTCTTCTTCGCCGCTCTGTGCTTAACCCTGTCACGGTTGCTAGGCAACATGAGTTGAGGTGGAGGCTAAACAGCTAGCTGAAGGCTAGTCCTGTCCAAATTCCGGTCGTAGTTTATTCGAGGCCTGCGAAGGACCCGTCCTAGATAGACCGGGTCCTTCTAAAGATGCAGACCCTGAACGACTTTAATAAAAACATGGAGTAATCACAGCGTATACTTGACTGGTGGACAGTGGTGGAGAAAGTA